AGTCCCGTCAAAATCGGTCCAGCTATTTCAGAGATTAGCCGGAACAAACAGACAGACAGACAGACAAAACTTCTAAAATATGTTATTTTGGTGTATGTACCGTATTTATATTCATATGCAAGTAGTAAAAACGGTTATTTCAATATTGCAAACAGACACTCCAATTTTATTTACATGTATAGATGTATAGATTAAAAAAAAGTAACAGTCATAAGGCTAGTCGTATGCCTAATATATATAATAATGTAATAAATTTATTTAAACAGAAATTGCGGCAACATTATTTAAATTTGTAACTTTTTTACTGTCCTTCTCCATTTTTCACATCTTTCTGTTATATCGCTATAATTATATTATATTATGCATAAAAAATATTTGTAATAATAAAGAAAATACATTTAAAATGTTTTACTTGTTGTGTTGTTATTTATAAGATCTTACTATAATTGTTAGCTGCTTTACAATTTAGAAAGTACAATAGGTAATGTAAATTAAAATTAATTGAATACTTAACAACGTTTTGTTCGATTAAATTCATTTAATTATTAAAATAGTTAATTTAAAATTAGAATAAAGACAAAAAAAAATCGGTGGCGGGAATCGAACCTTGAGCGTCCGTTTGGTAAGTTGATTCAAAGGCTTATTAAAATCAAAATTCAAAATTCAAAGGCTTATTTCTTCGAAATTACTGGTCATTTTGAAATAATACTTAGGGTTCGCATACCCTTATCGGATACTACTACTACACGGAGTTTCGTCAAAATAAAATATCTAGGTTAGGTATAATAAATTCATAATTAATAGACCGTTACGGTATCTGTATATATTCGGATCAAAACAAGTACTATGAAATAAGAACGAGTATATAAATTGATTAACACAAGTAATTGATTTTTGAAATATATTCAGAGCCAAAAAGTCTTCTTTCTTTATTTATGTACTTGTTATATGCGACAGCGACTTTGTTTTATACTATACTATACTATGTAATGATTGATATACCTAAAATAAATAAAATATCTGAGGTTTGGACAAAAACTCAAAGGGTAATTTATTTTGATAAAGTATTTTGAAAATACCTATTTTGCTTTTAGTGTTATAGTACTTTAACTGTTATATTTTAAGTAACAATGTTTAATTATAATTAATACTACTGCACCAACACTCCGATCGTGCAAAAAGATTTGCTGTTTCATTATTTTTTAGTTCAATTAGTGGTCTACCTAAGACCTGGGCTAAGGGGGGGGAGAGTCATGACGCCCCCATGACTCCCATGACCTCCATGACGCTCCCCCCTAGATCCGCCGTTGCGTCTTCTCTTTATTCGCTCAGCAACGTTGTTACAAAAGAAAAGATTCCCGTCCAAAAAATAATAAGTATTGAGGTTTGATCTGGAGTCACGTTACTCCAGACTGATTTCTATAAATATTTAGATTAGATAGACTATTATTCTTGAAATACTAGCTAGACATTATTAAGTTACTGTAGCCATAATGTAGTAGCCCAAACGTGCCAATGAGGAAGCCCTTGGCAAATGCTGCACCCTGATTGGCCCGTTTGAATTGGATCAAGAACTGCTCGTATGCCAAAAAGGTGGATTTGTATAAAATCGTGTATAAATCGCTTAATTATTATTATTACTCGTCGTGACAGTTGTGGCTCAAAACGGATCAACATTTATATATGGTCAGCTGGCATTAGATCAACAAAAGGCCTCCGGATCAACAAGTGAAAATGGATCAACAAAAAACTACCTATACGGCACGTCTGAGCCACAAAGTGCCCAAGGGGATATTTATATATATATATATATATATATAACTCAAAGGTGACTGACATAGTGATCTATCAACGCACAGCCCAAACTACTAGACGGACCGGACTGAAATTTGGAATGCAGGTAGATGTTATGACGTAGGCATCCGCTAAGAAAGGATTTTGAGTAATTATACCCCCAAATGGATAAAATAGGCGATGAAAGTTTGTATGAAACTTTGTCAATTTTAAACCGATCGGGCTGAGAGTTTGCATGCACAAAGCTACTATGACGTAAGCATCCTCTAAGAAAGGATTTTGATAAATTCCACCGCTAAGGGGATATTTTAACGCGAGCGAAGCCGCGGGCAAAAGCTACACAGTTTCTTTTTATAATAATAAACAAATTAAATTATAAAATGTGCCGGTAGCGCGTAGCCTTAACGAAATTTCAATAGCGAGGCTGTCTTAAATTACTAATTAGAAGCTTCGTTCTACCAAATCGCGCGTCCCTCGTGTTCCGGCGGAATCTCTAATTGCCAGTCACATAATACGGGCCATTAAAAAAATCGCGCTCAACTCCATTGTCAAGCCTAAGTTGGAGTAACTATTATTACATCAGCTACCTGCCAAAAAAAGTCCCGTCAAATACGGTCCAGCCGTTTCAGACAGACAGACAAAAATTGTAAAAAAAGTTATTTCGGTGTATGTACTGTATTTATATTCATATGCAAGTAGTAAAAAACGGTTATTTCATTATTACAAATAGACACTCCATTTTTATTTACATGTATAGATTATAGTCGATATAGTACCTAATATTATGAATCCTAAATGATCTACATTAATTTTAATATACTCTTAAAATGTATTTACATTTTAATTATTTGCACATTAACATATTCAGTATTATTGTGGTTTGAATTTAAACTGAAATGCTAAATTTATTATCGGAGTATATTTTAAATACGACTGAATTCAAAGCGCCTGTCAGAAGTCGTACAGCAATAAATTACCGCTGTGTAAATTTGAGTATTGTATGATTTTATTGTTTCGTTCTAATAGAACATATATATAGAGTACTAGGTATTCCCGCGACGTTGTCCGCGTGGAATTTAACAAAAAAGTTAATTAGAGAATTTTTCTAAAATAAAAGTAGCTTAAGTTACTCCTTATTACATCAGCTACATGCCAAAAAAAGTCCCGTCAAAATCGGTCCAGCCATTTCAGAGAGCCGGAACAAACAGACAGACAGACAAAAATTGTAAAAGTATTATTTTGGTGTATTTTCACATTCACATACTAAGTGCAAAACGGTTATTTCAATATTACAAACAAACATTCCAATTTTATTTATATGTATAGATGACACGTAATTTCCTAAATCTGAAAGTTCCGCTTGAAAATTCTGAAGGAATAGAGCTTGTTTACTTTGTCCAGACGTATCCGGACAGTATCGTGATTGAGCCATTGTGACTGGAATATCTTCAATCATACACGACCCCAACAGGAAATAGTCACTGTGTATTAGTGTTAGAGTTCACATCAATATTGTTGAAAATATCCGATATTTTAAAAAGATATTAAAAGAAGGTAGTTTGTGTTTAGTACTAATGAAGTACTCAATGTAAAGATTATTACAAATATTGTAAATAGCGCCATCTAGTATTTATAGTCTAAACTAAGTTTATCATATGATAACCGTTACCCCCGCTTCTACTCTACTACACTGACTTCGGTCTATAAATACAGAGGTCGGTAGTTGAATAATCCACCCTTCCGATCGATCCCTCGCCCAAATCAAACGGAGATCGAAATTACGACGGCCTGAGCCGAGATTCGAACCCCTAGCGGAGTGCCCTCAGACTAAAGTCATATCCGTCAGGCGGGAGTTGGCCTTCAGCTGCTCCATAAGTCCTTCCGCGGGTTTGGAGTGCCATCTGCACTCGCCCCTATCGTCCGGTGAAGCTGAAAAGGCCAGCTGCGGCCAACAGCATTAGAGTAGTCCGAAAAAAAAATCCTCTTTCGTTGGGTGAGCCGCGGCATTCAGTCGACGAGCGCAGAACGTATCGGTTGAGTTTTGGATACTAAAGTGAATTGTATTAGAAATGGGTTTATCTCGGTCTTAGTTGGGCCTGGGGTGGGAGCTGAAAGTAGTGAAGGTGAGTGTTAATGCATTCTGAAAGAGCCTTTTAAACCTACACCCGTGTCACAAGTCACGGGCGCTACTTGGGGTTTCCCTTGCGGTAGCTGGCTTCAAAGCCTAACTCCTCATCATAACTAGTGTTTCTTACATACCATGAACCATATCGCTATAGTAATAAAATGTTTTTAATTCCATTTCATTTATTTTTATACAATTGTGCATACATCAAATTACTAATAATATAACAATATATTTCTCTCTTTTGTCTTTAGTACTTTTTTATTTTCTGTCAGTATTTTGGCGCCAAGTTATATCATTTTTTAATATGGACTACAGGCAACGGAACAAAACTAAACAGTTATATTTACATTATTACAATTAACAATTGATAATAATTATAATTTTGAGACAATATTTAAGTCACAAACATCCATACTTACACACTTTCGCATTTATAATATTATTACATTAAGATTAATCAGTATTTATTTATTAAAAGACTACGTTATCTAAATTATTTTGATATCTAATTAGTTGGCAATACTTTTTTTTATTAAATTTGATTGAAATGTAAACTAAAACTAACTCTACATAATTACAAAATAGCCACATTACTTACACTCCGCTAAAATGCTGTACTTATTTGACCTTACAAATTACAGAATACAGAAATTACTAGACGTCTCGTAATAATATATTACAGAAATATACAATTACTAGACGTCTTGTAATAATGAATTACAGAAATGGCAAATTACCAGTCGTCTGATAATAATGTATTACAAAAATAGCTAATTACTAGACGTCTGGTAGTAACGAAATAAACAACTGGTGTATTACCAGGTGACTGGTAATAATTAATTACAGAACTGGCAAGTTACCAGACGTCTGGTAATATTGTTTAACAGAAATAGCCAATTACAAGACGTCTAGCAATAATGAAATAAACAACTGGTGTATTACCAGGTGACTGGTAATAATTGATTACAGAACTGGCAAGTTACCGGACGTCTGGTAATATTGTTTAACAGAAATAGCCAATTACAAGACGTCTAGCAATAATGAAATAAACAACTGGTGTATTACCAGGTGACTGGTACTAATTAATTACAGAACTGGCAAGTTACCAGACACCTGGTAATAATGTATAACAGAAATAGTCAATTACAAGACGTCTAGCAATAATGAAATAAACAACTGGTATATTACCAGGCAACTGGTAATAGTTAATTACAGAATTGAGAAATTACCAGACATCTGGAAGTAATGTTTAACAGAAATAGCCAATTAATAGGCGTCTGTTAATAATATATTACAGAAATAGCCAATTACTGGACGTCTGGTAATAATGTATTACAAAACTGGTAAATTACTAGGCGTCTGGTAATAATGAGGTGTCTCATTAAGGGTTGTAGCGCCGATAACGCCCCCTGCTGCCACGAGGAGCAACCGACGTCTGCGGTGATGACGTAGGAGTGACGTCACAGTTGCGAAGCTGCGTTCACCACGACGCGGGAAGCCAAGCGCGAGCCGTCCGTCCGGACGCCGCCGGACACCGACATTGTGGACTGCGCCTGAGCATGACACGCTTAGGGTGTATGCATGACTTGGCTGTGAACAAAATAGTAATAAATCAGGACAATTTATACAGCGTCATCTAGGCCCAAGCTAAGCAGAGCTTATGTTATGGGCACAATGTGACAATTGATAGCTTTAGATTTTTTTTATTCAAATTCAGATTCAAAATATCTTTATTCATGTAGGTCTTACAGACTCTTATGATATGTCAAATCTACCGTCAGTTTGGAATGATTTAGATATGAGAACTGATAAAAAACTCAGCTCGTATTGTTTTCAAATATTTATACCATAGGCAGAGTTGTTGTACAGCTTCGCTAGTGCACGACTCCCTGCGCTCTTTATCAAAAAATGAAGAAATTATCAATAGATTTAATTCTTATGATTGTTAGATTAGACGGACTCGGTTGTCTAGCGGTTTAGCACGCCGTTTTACGTCCCTACATTTAAACTTAAATTGTAAAGTGAGAATAAAATTATTTAAAAGAGCAACACGCAAGTTTCTTGTTCATTCTTCTTGTGATGAGTCTGCGTTCCGAATGAGCGGTAGAATAAAAAAATGCGCATATTCAAAAGCACTTATGTTGGGTTTATTTGAATGAAGATTATTTCTATTTCTAATGTATCGTGAAATTCGATCATTTGTCTGTAATTTAAGATAAATTGCGTTTAAATTCGTTAAAACTTTATTAAAGACTAGCTGTACCCGCGCGTTCGTCCGCGTGGAATTCAACAAGAAAGTTCATTAGAGAATTATTTTAAAATAAAAGTAACCTAAGTTACTTTTTATTACATCAGCTACCTGCCAATAAAAGTCCCTTCAAAATCGGTCTACCCATTTCAAACATTATCATTGTATTTTATGTTTTACCTATACTATGTCTATCAACGTTTTTATTTATTACTAGCTACACTCGCGGCTTCGTCTGCATGGAATTTAACTTTATTTTTGTATAATAAAATAATTTTTCTAAAATAAAAATAGTCTAAGTTACTCATTATTACACCAGCTAAATGCCAAAAAAAGTCCCGTCAAAATCGGTCCAGTCATTTCAGAGACTAGCCGGAACAAACAGACAGACAGACAGACAAAAATTGTAAAAAATATTATGTTGGTGTATGTACCGTATTTACATATATTCATATTTCAATATTACAAACAGACTACAATTTTGTTTATATGTATAGATATGTGAGGTTTTATTGTTTTAAAACATAATAGTATTTCATGGAAATAATTGAAATTCCGTATGTACTGACGGGGAGATATATGCCGCTAAGTAAATTAATATATCCCATTGAGTAAGGGCTGGATATTAATGGACCCACTCTTTGGATGGCTGTTTCCATGGTACCTATAATTGCGACGTATATATTTTAACCTTCCGTCCTTTTTATCTTTGAATTAAATTATTGTGAAACAATTATAATATTATAATATAATAATAATCTCAGGACAATTCACACAGCGCCATCTAGACCCAAGTTAAGCTAGCTAGAGCTTGTGTTATGGGTACTAGATAACTGATACATATACATAGGTTTTTTTATTTGTAAATACATACATATTATACATAGAAAACAACCAGACCGATACAAACAATCGTACTTATGAATACAAATGTTTGCACCGTGCGAGGAACCGAACCCGCGACCATCGGTAGTAAAGGTCCTCAACCGCTAGACCACCGACGCTGTCAAATCTATCTGTTCAAATTTGTAATTTAAATTATTTGTGGACGAATTTCGACCACCAGTTAGAATAAAAGTATAATAAAAAAAAATATTTCTTTTTTTTGTTCATGTTCTATTTGAACGCGTTTGTTTATTTGTCTCCACTCACCATGAAAACCTGACTTATCCCCCTTCATCTCATTCAAAAAACAAAACACTTACTTCTCATTATCTCCCGTTGATTTACAAAGTGAAAAGCTTGCAACAGAAAACATTAAACAGTGCAAGCGATTTCAGACCCTCGGCGTTTCTGAATAGAGTTGTTTATCATTCGTTTTCCTTTTAACTCAACTTCAACAGTCAGTGTCCGTTTGCAAATATCATTTGTTTCATGAAACTGGCCGGAGACGCGGCGTACTGTAGTTAATTTGGAGTTCCGTAGCTTTATTCAAATGATAAACTTAGGCTGGGTTAACATAACTAAAAATACTGTTTTTTACTCCATAAATAACATGTACAAAAATTTACAACAATATACCTCAAACTATTGGAGAAACGTCTCTAATAATTAATAATTGTAAGTAAGAATAAATTATTTAAAAGAGCAACACACAAGTTTCTTGCTTGTTCTTCTTGTGATGAGACAGCATTCCGAATGAGCGGTAGATTAAAAAAAAAAATGTTATGACTATTCAAAAGTGCTTCAATGTAAGTTTATTTGAATAAATGATTTTCTATTTCTAATTCGTACATTTATAGTTAATTTCTATTTCTATTCTACATTCGTTAACTAACTACTCGCCCATTTCTATTTCTATTTCTATTTCTATTCGCACGGGTACGGTACATGTTTAGAAATAGAAATAATCTTTATTCAGATAAACTTAATATAAGCACTTTTGAATAGTCAAGTTTTTTTAATTCTACCGCTCATTCGGAATGCAGACTCATCACAAGAAGAATGAGCAAGAAACTTGTGTGTTGCACTTTTATATAAATATTGATTTAATTAAACTTATATTAACAAGGATTAGGCATGCGACAATTTACATAGAAACCGCTACGCACTTAATCTCTGTTCAATCAGATAACATTGTCAGCGCTATGAATTTTAAGTTAGATATTTTGTACAAAAACATTATTATCATTTATAAATTCTTCAATTTTATAATAAGCTTTTTTACAAAGAAAATATGTTATAACACAACTGATTTTTTTTTCTGTCAAACTGAGTACAGACTCTGGCAGTTTGTTGCAAAATCTTACGCATTTTCCATAAAACGAGTTATTAACTAATTTTCGACCACTGCTTAAGTTTGTATTGTGTATACTAGTTTGTATAAACAGATTAACTTACAAGACTAAGTGAATGTGTCTCGACTCTCGAGGGTTCTTAATATGACCAGGGAACTCTAATGCCAAATTTACACCCAGCCCGAGTGGGCAGGGAAGTAAGCACGGAAGTGAGCAGCGCGAGAGTGTAATCACGAGTGGAAACAATTCCCATGCCATTGGCGCTGCCACTTGCGCTGCCCTGCGCTCCCTCGATTGTCGGTTTTTCGTGCGCGAGTCAAAGGACTGGCAGCGCGAGTGGTAGCGTGTTTTTACATTCAGCCGTCTCGCTCAGTTGTCGCCCGGCAATATTTCCGGCAGCGCGAGTGGCAGGGGAAGCGGCTGAATGTAAACGTAGCAAATGCATACCTTACATTATATTACACAGAACGCAATAATATTATGAAACAAATACGGTTCCCCTCGTAGCTACAAGTCGCCCACCAAGGCACCTTTATTAAATTTTGTTAAGAGTACAGTTTGCAGACAAATTTAACGTGTATAATAATAAATAATAAATATAATAATAATCTCAGGACAATTCACACAGCGCCATCTAGACCCAAGTTAAGCTAGCTAAAGCTTGTGTTATGGGTCCTAGACAACTGATACAAATACATAGATAATTTTTTTTTTCGTAAATACTTACATATTATACATAGAAAACATCTAGACCGATACAAACAATCATACTCATGAATACAAATGTTTGTGCCGTGCGAGGAATCGAACCCGCGACCATCGGTTGTAAAGCGGTATGCTAGACCGCTAGACCACCGAGGTCGTCATGTATTTATGGACTAGCTGTTCCGGCGACTTAGTCCGCGTGGAATGTAACTTTATTTCTCGAAAGAATAGAATAGAATAGAATAGAAAATCATTTATTCAAATAAACTTAATTTAAGCACTTTTGAATAGTCAACATTTTTTTAAATAGAAATAGAAATCATCTTTATTCAAATAAACTCATTACAAGCACTTTTGAATAGTCATATTTTGATTCTACCACTCATTCGGAATGCAGATTCATCACAAGAAAAACAAGCAAGAAACTTGTGTCTTGCTCTTTAATATGATGATGTTTTTTTTATATATAAATAATTACAGTATAACAAGTAAGAGGTATGCGATAATCAACATAGAAATCTACCGCTTATTCGGAAAGCTGTCTCATTACAAGAAACTTGTGTGTTGCTCTTTTAAACAATCCTTGTAAGTTCACATTTTACAAGTCGAAACGTGTGAATACAAACTACAAACCAGCACTAATTTATTTAGGCTCAAATATAAAAACACAATAAGATTAAATCAGTCGTAGTGATAAGAAAATAAAACAAGCCTAAGTTACTCCTTATTATAGCAGCTACCTGCAAAAAGTCCTGTCAAAACCGGTCCAGCCATTTCAGAGATTAGCCGGAACAAACAGGCCGACAGACAGATAAAAATTGTATAAAATGTTAATTTGGTGTATGTACCGTGTTTATATTCATATGCATGTAGCAAAAAACGGTTATTTCAATATTACAAACAGACACTACAATTTTATTTATATGTATAGATATGTGTTTTCTATTATTGTATAATGTCGATAAAAGTAGTAATAATAATTATTATAAAATAGAATAGAATAGAATAGAAAATCATTTATTCAAATAAAGTTACATTGAAGCACTTTTGAATAGTCATCACGTAGTCAGTGTATGCTTAAATCTTTACAGCTACGCAACGGATTTTGATACGATTTTTTTAAATAGATAGGGTGATTCGAGAGGAAGTTTTATATGTATAATACATGTACACCCGTGTGAAGACGGCGCGAGTAACTAGTTACATAGTATAAATACAAAGTCGCTATCGCTGTCTGTCCGCCCCTATGTATGCTTAAATGTTTAAAACTACGCAACGGATTTTGAAGTGGTTTTTTAAATAGATAGAGTGATTCAAGAGGAAGGTTTATATGTATAATACATGTACACCCGTACGAAGCCGGGGCGAGTAGCTAGTTACATAATGCAAAACAAAGTCGCTGTCACTGTCTATCCGTCCTTATGTATACTTAAATCTTTAAAACTACGCAACGGATTTTGAACCGTTTTTTTAATACACAGAGTGATTCAAGAGGAATGATTAAATGTATGATGTACCCGAGCGAAGCCGGGGTGGGTAGCTAGTTTACATATAAAAAAAATATTTATTTTAACATGCAAATTTTTTATCTGACTGTATACAAAACGCTCGTCCGCCATCTCCCGATACTGCGGCCATGAAAATCAGGTTACAGGCGGTGGATGTAATACAGACTCCGATAACTGAGTACCTGCAACTTAGTTCTATCAACTACCTATCAAGTGCTAAGTATCAGATAGCAGTCTATCTAATACAGGCGTGGACTTAAGACTAACAACTGAAAATAAACGCTCTTGTGATTAATAATAGTCTATAACTAAGTAATGCCTAATTAATGATTGTAAAAATTTACAAATGAATATTGTAGTATATGTGGGAAAGAGAAGGAAGCATTATGTTGTCTCTATCGCACACGGCTGGCGTCTTGTGCCTGTTTTGCTGTGAACGGCGAGTGAAAATAGTGGTGTAAGAGCCGATATTTTTTTTTATGGATTATAATGGAATGGCGCACCCACCTGCGCTAACGATTTACGCTGGCGGGGCACCAGTGGAGGATGATAAGATGAACCTTTACATTTACATTACACCATTGTTCTCACTCGCCGTTCACAGCATAACAGGCACAAGACGCCAGCCGTGTGCGATAGAGACAACATAATGCTTCCTTCTCTTTCCCACATATACTACAATATCCATTTGTACATAGCGTTGATTCTTTAGCGCAGGCGGTGCACCATTCCATTATCATCCATAAAAAATACTTCATTCAAATTATACGTCATTAAATAGAATCTGTTTAATTGACTAACCTGACTGGACGGCCGGAGAATGAACATCCCATCAGGCTGTCCCATCAGAAGGTTCTCTGCCTCGGCCCGGTCCACGTTCATGTAGTAAGGCTCGTTCTCTACAGGTACCGGCAGCGGCCGGTCGGCCATGTTTGTTCGCGGCCGCTCCCGCATCCGACCGATCTCCGTCGATGTGCAGTCGACTTTATCCTGACTGTCTTCATCTTGGACTGCATCGTTCGTTTCTGTATAAGAAGTAGAAATAGTCTATTATTTACTACATGGCTCTGCAAGTGTAGGCACCGCCCGCCGAATTCTTTTGCCGATTTTATTATTTTTAAATTTATATTTTTGATGAGTTTTTTTTTATATGTCACTAGCTTTTGCCCGCGGCTTCGCTCGCGTTAATTTAGGGGTGGAATTTATCAAAATCCTTTCTTAGGGGATGCCTACGTCATAGTAGCTTTATGCATGCAAAGTCTCAGTCCGATCGATTTAAAATTGACACAGTTTCATATAAGCTTTCTCCCTTTGGGGGTAGAATTTATCAAAATCCTTTCTTAGCGGATGCCTACGTCATAACATCTACCTGCATGGCAAATTTCAGCCCGATCCGTCCAGTGGTTTGGGCTGTGCGTTGTTAGATCACTACGTCAGTCACCTTAGAGTTATATATATTTAGATGTTATTTGATATACTTCACTTTATTGTATTATTCTCTTATTGTCCTTTTGATAGTTCGCAACGGCATATTAATATATTATATTATTATAAACTACGTGTTTTCATCATTTAGACACCCATACAGTCCACCGATCCATTACAGCAAATAAAAAAGGAAGTTTTTTTTTATAAAAATTTGCTTTTCCATGTTACTGTGATAGCTGTAGTTTAGGAGATTTTTTTGTTCAAATATATTTGTGGTTTTATCTATTACACACCAGCAAACATAAAAAATCGAATATTTCTTTCATCAAATTGAGAACGGAATGGTGAAACAGTTTAGTGTAACTTTTCAATGCAATATATATTTATTCATGTAGATTTAAATTAAAGAATAGAATAGAAAATAAAAGAATTTTAAGGTTTATTCCTCTTAGTTCTCTTCTCAACTCTCCACTTCCATTCTATTTTGCGCTTATCAATAGATTTGAATATTTATAGATAAATGAAAAAAATGTTTTTTTAGAAAAAATCTAACTTAAAACTCATAGAGCTGACAGTGTATCTGATTGAACAAGGATTTAGTGCGTAGCGGTTTCTATGTTCATTGTCGCATGCCTAATCCTTGTTAATGTATAATTGTATATCTACTTAAAACAACATTTATTTAAAAGAGTAATACACAATTTTCTTCTTGTGATGAGTCTGCGTTTCGAATGAGTGATAGAATAAAAAATATGACTATTCAAAAGTGCTTATACTAAGTTTATTTGAATAAAGATTATTTATATTCTATTCTATTTTAATTTTACTATAACTTTAATTATAACATCAGCTACCTGCCAATAAAAATCCCGTCAAAATCGGTCCAGCCATTTCAGAGATTAGCCGGCACAAATAGACAGACAAACAGAAAGACAAAAATTGTAAAAAATGTTATTTTGGTGTATGTACCGTATATATATTCATATGCATGTAGTATAAACGGTTATTTCAATATTACAAACAGACATTCCAATTTTATTTAAGATTTTAACGCGATGTAGGATCAAGATTACGCTACGATGGATTGACACTAATCACTTTCTGCTAAAAACAAACTATCTTAACAAGCTCGCAGAATAAACATCCACTTCAAATAATTGAAGATCAGAGCGAAAGTTTAAAAAGTTTGTTTTTGCTCAGGTGTAAGTTACAAAAGCCCTCTCGACTTTCAGGTAACTCCGGCAACTGCAAGTGGATCTGATGGACCGCTTCAAATCTTGCTCTCAATTCTTTGAAGTATTTGAGATGTATCAACTTGGTATAATTAGTTAAAAAATAATAGAATAGAATAGAATAGAAATAATCTTTATTCAAATAAACTCATTACAAGCACTATTTGAATAGTCATATTTTGATTCTACCACTCATTCGGAATGCAGATTCATCACAAGAAGAATGAGCAAGAAACTTGTGTGTTGCTCTTTTTAATAGATGTTTTTTTTATATTAATTAGATGTTTTTTCAAATATAAATAAATAATTACGTTCTTTTTGTATAACAAGTAAAAGGGATGCGATAATCAAATATAAATTCTTACTTTAACTCGAATTATGATTGAACAGCTGGACTCAGCTGTTTATGATCAACCATCGTAACCATCCATCCAATCATCATAAGCTCATTTGCCCCTATGCTATAAAAAAACAACTCTGAAAGTTTTACAATTACTCAATATTTTCTTATATAGAAAGAAAAAACATTTATTGACCACCATTATTGTTATACACACACACATATGTAAAAATTACAAAAATACATGTATAATATATATTTACATGGTTGGCAACATGGCCGACCAACATGGCCGACCAACACGGCCGTCCGACATGGCCGTCCAACATGGCCGACCGACATGGCCGACCAACATGGCCGACCAACATGACCGTCCAACATGGCCGACCAACATGGCCGACCAACATGGCCGACCAACATGCCCGTCCAACATGGCCGACCAACATGGCGAACCAACATGGCCGACCAACATGGCCGACCGACATGGCCGACCTACATGGCCGACCAACATGGCCGACCAACATGGACGACCAACATGGCCGACCAACATGGCGAACCAACATGGCCGACACTCAGCACTTGCCGTGACAGCTAACTGTCTCGGCGCTGATATTCTGTGCCTGCCATTGATTATATGACACTTACCTGTTACAACATCGGTGAAACAATGCAACAATCTGTAGAAGTTATCAACTACAGCATCCCCCAGCCTTGATGCTAAGTTGCAAGCGAGTGGTGCACTCACTTTCAACAGCCAACAGCACATTACGAGCGGTGACGCGCTACATCACTATATCGCACTCACATTATAAGGCAACACCACACTTGAAGAACAGTCTACCTAATATATTGCACTGTAGGTACTTGTGGATCAAATATCAAAGGATATATTTCTTTTATTACACTATTTTTTTTCATTACAACAAATATATATATACTTTCATTTGTTTATGCTTTAGAATGGAATAGAAAATCATTCCTTCAAATAAACATACATTGAAGCACTTTTGAATATTCACACATTTTTTGTGATGAATATTATTTAAATAAAGATTATTTCTATTCTATTCTCTTCTATTCTATAGAATCAAATTTGCATTCATTACAATCTGTCACAGTCACAGACACTGAGTCAGCGAGGAGTCACGGATCCTTACGCAATTAATTAGTTCAATTAAACGTGACACGGTACGTCTTTTCGTTTGACATCACTTATTTGTATTAAATCTTTTACTATATAGATACATTTTAAAAAGAATAAAAAAAATTGTCCAATATTTTTTTTAATTTAGGGGTGGACAACCTTTATCACTTAGGGGTATGTAAAATAGATAGCAGTCGATTCTCAGACCTATATAAAAATAAAACTAATCGTTAAAAAATTATAAAAAAATTAGGGGTGGACAACCCTTATCACTTAAGGGTATAAAAATTAGATAGTAGTCAATTCTCAGAACTAAATAAAAAAAATAAAAAAAATAGTCCAATATATTAAAAAGAAATTTAGGGGTGGACCTTATCACTTAGTTGTATGAAAAATAGATAGCAGTCGATACTCAGAACTATATATAAAAATATAAATAAAATAGTTCAATAAATTTAAAAACAATTTAAAGGTGGACAACCCTTATCACTTAGGGGTGTGAAAAATGCAAATGATTCTCAGACCTAGTGAATAAAACAATTTTAGGGGTGGACAACCCTTATCACTTAGAGGTATGAAAAATAGCAGCTGATTCTCAGAACTACTGAATAAAAAAAATTTGTGGTGGACAACCTTATCACTTAGCGGTATGAAAAATAGATAGCAGCCGATTCTCAGACCTACTGAATATGCATATAAAATTTCATTAAAATTGATCAAGCCGTCCCGGAGTAGTATGGTAACTAACGTTATGACACGAGAATTTTATATATGACTAGCTGACGCCGCAAACATTGTTTTACCATATAAGTTAAAATCGCTTTTTAAAAATAGGGGTTGGTGATAGGATTTTAAATTTTAGGGTTGTATGTATTTGTTAATGCCACATAAAAATATTAAAAAAATGTTAGGTATGGATTACCCTTATCACTTAGGGGTTTGAAAAATAGCAGACGATTCTCAGACCTACTGAATATGCATATAAAATTTCATAAAAATCGGTCGAGCCGTTCTGAAGGAGTATGGTAACTAACATTGTGACACGAGAATTTTATATATAAGAAGATATTTTCATACTATACTAAAATATTTATGTAATGTATAATCTTATATATAAAATTCTCGTGTCACAATTTTCGTTCCCACACTCCTCCGAAACGGCTTGGCCGATTCTTATGAAATTTTGTGAGCGTATTGAGTAGATCTGAGAATCGGCTAACATCTATTTTTCATCCCCCTAAATGTTAGGGGTAGTCCACCCCTAATTTTGTTTTTATTTTAAGGCAAAACAACGTTTCCGGGACAGCTAGTATAATTATAACAATCCATTTGATACAGAAAAAATATTTATAATCACTTATCACGAGTATATGTAGTAGTTTTATTTTCACACTTGTGTATATACAGTTTAAGTCGTTTTTTAAATACTACACTTTTTCACTAGGTAATGTTTTAAAGCACTCAATTTCCATACAGGCACTATCCGTTCATAACACTACAGATCAACTAACAAAGAACAAACAAATCGATTGTCCCACAGGCGATTTTTTATTTTATTTCACCATTATAAAGCCACGACTGATAGTGTTGTACGCATTGTCGATAAAAATCCTCACGATAAATTTGACGGGTTTAGCCTTAGTTGCGTTTTACCATTGTAAAGCCACTATCTTTTGCCCGCGGCTTCGCTTGTGTTAATTTATCCCCTTAGGGGCGAAATTTATCATTTATATCATCCTTTCTTAGGGGATGCTTACGTCATAGTAGCTATATGCATGCAAAGTCTCAGCCCGATCGGTTTAAAATTGACAAAGTTTCATACAAACTTTCATCTCCTATTTTATCCCCTCTGGGATAGAATTAATCAAAATCCTTTTTTAG